TTGGCTTCATGAAAATTTGCCAGGGATATATAGCTTTTTTATAACATGCTGCATCTGTCTGCCATGTAACATTGGAACGGATTTCTATGGATTTTCTATACTCTGAAAAAGATGCAAATGAAGATACTTTGATAACACATCATCCTTAATCCCTGCCTTCAAATAGGAGTAAATCAAAACTTCCCAAGGAAGAATATCTTTAAAAAAAAAAAAGAAAGAAAAAAGGCTTTAACAATCACCAGCAGTGGCCACTCCATTGGTACTGGGGCTGAAGAAGCCTCATGTATTGAAACCCTCCTTCCCTCTTATTGTGACCCTAACTTCCTGAAGGCTTACAGTGGCAGCTCTGGTAGGCCTTACCAGAGTAGATGGGTTTCAGGTAGGGTTGTGATAAAGGGCTGGCACTGAACACCAGCCTGGCTAACTGAGAGGTTAATCAACAGGCAGATATAAGTTGAAATAATTTGAGACACAGTGACTCTAAAAGCTTACTAAGTCACAATAGGGTTTCAGCCTGTATCAGTTCAGGGAGTACCTTTCATACTACTGAATGCATAAATCTTTGACATCTTAAAAAACCAGACTTCAAAGATAGGAAGGTCTTTTCACATCTAGCTTAATTCTTTTCCATCGCAGCTAAAACCTTTAAAGTCGTGTTTATATCTTCTTGGTTCTAGAGGTGCATAATTTTAAACAACTTCATTGACTGAATCAATGAACTAATCATGTCTTTATTTATTAAGTGCCTACTATGTGTCAAAAACTGTATTAGGAGCTGAGGATATCAAAACAGAAGTGAAACTATAATTTCCTGATCCAAAGAGTTTACATTTTAATGGAGGGAGACAACCGGTACATACACAGACAGGCAGACATAAAACAGATACATGGTGACCAGGAAGGGAAAGGCACAAGAAGGTGGAAGGGACCAGGAAAGGCCTCATGTAGCAAGCGGTGCTTCAGCTGAGTCATGAAAGACATCTCAAATTCCAAGACAAGATGATGAGGAGCTGCATGGTGCCAGCATGGTGGCAGCATGGTGGATGGAGATGTAAGATGGAGTGTGGCATGGGAGAAACAGCAAGACCCTCATGGTGGGGAGGTCCAGCAGTCAGTAAGAGATGGTGGATGGAGTTCAGAGAAGAGAAGAGGCCTGTCGATAGAGATTTAGGATTCATCTGCATGGAGATGAGAGTTGAAACCATGGGAGCTGATGAACGTGATAAGTGAGTATACAGGCAGAAGAGGGCCCAGGTCAGAACCATGTAAACTTAATTTAGTTGACAATAAATTTAAAATTCTATTTTTTCTCTATAGGTATTAAAGTCAAGAATCATGAAGGAAGGCAGGTGGATATACAGGAAAGATGCCCTATTTATGGAGGAGTCCACAATCCTTTTACACATCTATAGCTATCTCACTCGTCAGTGGCTCTTCCAAACCTCTGGTCTCCCATTAGATTTCCCATGGTTCTCCCTCCCTCCTACCTCTCAGCTGAGAACCTGGCCTCATTTTTATCTTTAAAAATTGAGGTTGGTTGATGAGAGCTCTCTCTTCTCTCCTCTGTATCTCACATCACTCATGCCTTCCCCCATTCTTTCCTCCAGTCTCACATGATGGGGGTGGTCCTATTCCTTGCTAAGGTCCAAGGTAGCCTATTCCACCCATCCTCTTGGGCAGACTGCCCCTTCTATCACCCCACTTCTCTCACTTACCTTCAATAATTTTCAAACACACCCTTGTTTCCTCTATCCTCAAAATCCCTTCGCTTGGTCCATCTGTCCTTATTAGCTATCATCTAATATTTCTTCCCCCTTTTCTAGGTAAACTGTTTGAGAAGGCCATCTATGATGGATGTTTCCATTGCCTTTCCTCTCACCCTTTTATTAACTCTCTATAGCCTGGCTTCTAACCTTATCATTCCACTGAAACTGGTCTCTCCAAAGTCACCAATGATCTCTTAACTGCCAAATCAAATGGCTCCCCCCCCACCCCCATCCTCATTCTTCTTGACTTCTCTGCTACCTTTCATACTGTCGATGACCCTCTTCTCCTTGCTCTTCTCTTCTCTTTTCCCTGGTTCTTCTACTTGTTTGACCACTCCTCAGTCTCTTTTGTTAGATCTTCATCTAGGTCATAACTGCTAAAGGTGGGTGTCCCATAGTGCTCTGCCCTGGCTCCTCTTATCCTCTCCCTCTACTATTTCACTTGCTGATCTCATCAGCTCCCATGAATTCAATTATCATCTCTATGGAGATGAAGCTCTGACCTAGTTAGCTAGCTCTAACCTCTTTGCAGACATCTAGTCTTGCATCTTCAATTGCCTATTGAAGATCCCGGAGATCTTGCAGACATCTAAAACTCAACATATAAAAAACTGAACTCATTGTGCTTTGCTCCAAGCCCTTCCTCCCTCCAAACTGCGCTATTATTGTCAAAGGTACCACTATCCTTCTGGTCATCTGGCCTCAAAACCTAAGTGTTATCCTTGACTCCCCCCCAACCCCATATCCAATCAGTTGCCAAGTCCTGTCATTTCCACCTTTCCATACGTGTCATCTTCTCTGCTGTGACACTGCCACTGCTCCTAGGGCAGGCCCTCATCATCATACACCTGGACTGCTGCAATAGTCTGCTGGTTGGTCTCCCTCTCCCAAGAGTCTCCCTTCCTGTCCATCTATCACTCAGCTATCAAACTGATCTTTTGAAACTCAAGATCTGACCACATCGCTCTCC